AGGTGGTCACCTATATGTGCTTTCAATCCCAAGTCTTGCTACCACTACCAACTCTGGCAGACGACTTACATACATTTCAAAAATAACAATTAAAAGAAATGGGCTCATTTAATTAATTTCTTCACATTATACTGAACACATTGCCTGTACTTACAATAGAGAACAGATACTACCCAGACTCTTCCATGAAATAAAATACTCAATTGTATTGCAACACATCTACCTTGTTCTATATTTACTTAAAATTCTCCACCTGAAATATTTGCCTATTTTAAAAGATGGTATTCACCTACATTCTCTTGTTTCAAATGCTTGGAGGTTTTAAGTCAAATCATACCATTCTGAATTTCAACAGTGTAAACTCCTATAGCCACTGTTGCGTTATGAGGTGGAGGAAGTTTGGGGCTTTTTTACCTACTATCATTTGCACTCTGACCTTGAGCTTCAGCTTAATTAAGATCTTTGTGGAAACATGAAGTAGACAAACCAAGTAGAAATAATATATAAAACACAAGTCTCTGTGATTTCATTTTAACTTCAGCAAACTATATGAGATTATAAACTAAGTAAAACAGAATAAAAATTACAAACTTCTACTTGAGAAAGTAATAAAGTATGTGCTATTCTTATACAACTTCTTAAGGATGGTATTATTATGAAATCTATATATAATTCTCATGTACTAAGAACAAGCATGTGTTTAAAGTCTTAAAACTTTACTAATTATTTACTGAGATAGAACAAAGTTTTAGGGAAAGGGCATTATGATATATCCCATGACATTTGAGGGTAGGGATGATATCAGAGATGTCATCATTGGAAAGAAACATTAAAGAGTTTCTGGATCGGCAAGATAAGTAAAAATTAGTATTTCATTTTTGAACCTTAATCTTGATAATTTATTATGAATTTATCAGGATTCATAACCTTGGGATTATCAATTACTAGAAACAGACGTGTTCCAAATACTTCTTGTCACCCAAATATCATTTCTTGGGAGATATAAGTAGTTTTATGACTACTGGTCTTGAAAATTACTTACCTTCTATTGGTCCTTTCAGCTCCATTCAACTTAAGGACCAGAAATGTTTTGTTGCGGAGTGCTCAGATCACCTGGTTACTGAAGCAAATCTCCATCTTTTGCTTCTGTTCAATGAATCATTTTAAAATCTATTCATTAGCTGCTAAAGAAAGGGAGTGAAATATATTTAGCTCTAGAAATAGTGCTAGGAATCTTTGCCTAGCTTCTGATGGAAGAACATATTTGGTGAAATGGTAAAATGATAATTTCCTACTGAGCTAGGATCAAGAGACCATCAGGGCAGCTCAAGCCCATGGGAAGCTATCTCAAGCACCAGAGCTATAGTTCAGTTTGGTTTTGCCAGTTTAGTGGCAGTGACATTTTTCTTCTGAGTCAACAGATGTTTGGGTTTTGGTGGCTGTAGCCTTTGAAACACTGATTGCTCAGCCAAAGTTAACAGAAACAGCTGCAAAACAAGATGTCATTATCTCTGGGTCTTGCTCTGAGTAAGCTACAAGAGCACTGCCATCTGTAAAGAGCAGTTCTTTAATAAGGGGACTTCTGAAGCCTTTGTTTCTGCATGTAAACAAGCCAAATTATAAATGTCACTTGGGTAAATCTGAAAATGGACTCTCAGAAATAAACTCTGTGTTTGTTTGATTTGCTGCTACTGCAAAACCGAATGTCTCTAACACGGAGATGCTGTAGCTCTATTCATATTTTGCAAGACAGCTTTTCATCCAAACAACCAACTAAGATGATTGCTTCTTCAACTCATTTGTTCTGGGACAAAGAAAAAGAGTTGGGGGTGTTAGTGGTTGTTCAAGGCTTTTTAAATTTTCATGGTTTTCTGTATAGCAGCATAGAAAAGTCTATTTAATTCTTTAAATCCTTCTTAATAGTGTCAAATAACATTAGACACTCTGGTAGTTATAAAAGGTCACGACTGTAAAAGAAAAGAACCATGGTATTGCACAGATATAGCTAAGAAAGATTCAAATCAGTATTTTCACGAAGCAGACTTTCAATATACAATCATCTCTGTAACTGTGGCACATTTTTATGACCATATCCTAGTTGACACTACAAATGCAAGTGTCTTTAAAGTGTTACAATATTGCTGCTTACAGAGAAAATATATGTATGTGATCTGTGTTTCAAACACATTTAAAATGTTTCATTTTGTATCACATTGAAGCCATGCTGGCGCCACAAAAGATCATGAGTTTCTGATCAATATTACGTCTTTAGCTATTGATTTCTTTTAAATATAGCCTTTGACTTATGTTGAAGATAGGCAGAGAATACTATTAACCAACTGTAATGTTGAAGAGTTCATGACCATGACAAGTTTTAAAGGCCTTGATTTCTATAGGCAGAATATGAAGTTGACTGAAATTATACAGTCGACTAACAATTATGCAGACTTAATACTGGAAAATAAGGAACCTAATTTCATGTCCATTAAATTCAATAGGAATCCAGATATTTAAGATCACAATGTTGAAGTAAAATGATTTCATTAGATTTATATGGACTCTTTGCGCCTTCTCACGTAGATGGTGTTGTAGATTTTCACAAGCCTTTTTATAATACATCTTTTATCAATAGACAGTGACAATTCATTGGAAAAACAATGACAACAGGCTTTAATAAAAAATAAACAATTAATGCATGGTAATAAGGAAACCATTTGGGTTAAGAAATGCAAAGAAGCATGGAACAAGACACATAAACCTGGGAGAGAGGATAGAAAGGCCTGGAAGAAAAAGCCATTGAAAGCACTTGCAGGGCTCTAAAATAGGCACAAGGATTAGGCAGCAGCCAGAACAGAGCAGCTGAACAGCTATTGAAAGGAAGTGGATTTATAAACAGGAGTTCAAGCAACAACAAGTAATGACTTCAGTGCAGGAAACTATGGTAAATAGAATGGCTGGGCTTGCTCAGAGCTGTGGGAAATATTAACGAAGTCATAAAAAGCTGGAGAATTTTATTAATGTAAGCATTTTAAGTATAGCATTTTCAAACTTATAAAATTTGTTTTTTTTCAGAAATATGGATAAAATTATTTTCTTTCAATACTACCCATTACTTAGTCTCCCTTTTAGGTTGAACATCTGCATATACTCCCTGTGTAGCTACTCAATCTGTAGAAGATATTTGCTTTTATTTGTTTCATAGCTTTTGTCAGACTAAAACTGTCTTCCTAATATTAAGCAGGTACGAAGGCTCACAGTCTTCAGTATGAAGTCAATATACTTCAACATATGAGCTTAAAGTTAAACAAGTCTTAAGATTATTTCCTAAGTATGGAGGCTTTTCCTAACTGGGGCCTTAGAATAGAACTGGTGCTCTTTAAAGCAGTAGAAAGATACCCAAGTAATATTTGAAGCATTGCAATTAACAAATAAAAACACTGTTAATGCTTCACAGACACATTTTATCTTTTATCATACTCCTTTGAGTACTATTTCTAAGAATTGGAAATGTAAGCTAGATTTCCACAAAGACTTCCAAATTGCCATGCCAATAACCTTTGGTATCAAGTAGAATTGTGTCTTTCAGTTCTCAGACTCTCCAGGAGGATCAAGATAAGAAGAAAAGAAAAGTCATGGTTTTATGAGGAGAGACTTTCAGAGAGGTAACACTGACTTTGGTCCTTGTGATTCAGAATTGGAAGCTTCTGTCTCAGAAGACAAAAAGCCACACAATCATGGCTGTTACTGCTGTGCTGTTGAATTAAATTTTGAATAAAAACTCCCAGGAGCTGGGATTGTTTTGATGTGCCTATGCTCTTACAGCTCTCATGCAAGATAGCCCTTCTAGGCTGCTTTCAATCGTTTTAATTTCAGCCTAAGCCATATGTGTGATTCTGGCTTTAGTTTTTGTAACGTTGGGCTCTAGGTGGGATACACAGGTGTGTTGACCACTTCTTCAAAGAGAATACCAATTGTTGGCAAGCCACAGAACCACCTTAATTCAACCTTGTGCCTTTTTGTACCATCTTGCCAGTCTGTTTTAGTGGAGTGGAAAATGCAGTAATGTGTTCTCTCTTGAGACATTAACATTTCTGGATTCATGGTATGATTTGACAGGATCCAGATGCCAAATATGTATTTTTCCAATGCTGTTGCCTTGAGGCATATCAGGCTCCAGATTTTTAAGTTGCAGTAGGGAAGCTAAATAACGTTTGCTATTGAGCCCAAATTTGGCAACTGGAGTCTGAAAAGATGGGAAAACCTAACTGGCAAGACCTGGAGGGATTCAGGATTCAGAGCCAGATTTTCAGAGCATCCTGATCTTGATTCTCACAGTAGCCACCAACAGATCCGTGCAGATGCACGCTGGTTCTTCATCTAGGCATCGTGCTTCAGGTGCCCAACATTAAAAAGTTACTTGGCCACTAAATCTCTGCCTCTCCCTCGGCTGCACGAGGAGAATGAAGAGTTGGATACTGGTTCATACACTTTCTTTTTTTTTTTTTTTTTTTAATCCATTTGGATATATCGATGTGGGGACCAGAATTAAAACAAGGCAGAAGCCCAGCACCGCTAGCCTTTCACTTCTTACCACCGCGGCGTATGGCTCTCGCCGTCTCAAACTCCCAGCCCAGGAGCGCGGATGCTGCCGCTCCGCCGGCCGGCGCGCCCCGACCCCACCGCCTCCGGAGACCCCCTGCCCATGACTGCCAGGGAAGTCTCGCTCGCTATTGCTATTCGCTGAGAACTGCGGTAAAGCCCGGCCGAGCATCCTCGGGGCGGGCAGGCGAGCGAGCGAGCGAGCGAGCGAGCGCCGGTGCCGAGCCGGGGCGGGCCGTGACTCCCCCGCCGAGGCCGAGCGGGGGAACTCCCGCCGCCGCCGGGCTCCGCCGCCGCTGGCAGAGCGCATGTGCGGGGGCTCCTGCTCCTGCCTCCGCGCCGCTCCTCGCACCCTCCCGCCTTCCCTCTCTCTCCCTCCCTCCCTCCCTTCCTCCCTCCCTGCCTGCTGCCTGCCCGCCTGCCTGCCGCCGCCTCCCTCCCTCTCCCCGCCGGCTGGGTGCTGAAGTTGGGCGGATGGCAGCGAACCAGCTGCGCTAGGGACGAGCCGCACTAGTCCTTCCCGGGATCGCTCAGCGCCAACTGCACGCAGCCAGGCGGGGGTGGGTAAGGCGCTCCGCGCTTATTTCAGCCTGTACCGTGATAAATGGCATCAAAATGTCTGCTTTATAGTGATGCTAAGGGTGTGTATGTGGGGAAAAAACTATATCGACCGGGGATGGAGGGGGAGGGGAAGAGAAAGGGGGTAGGCGAGAGGATGGATGGATGGATGGATGGATGGATGGATGGATGGGTGGATGGATGGATGGATGGATGACGGTGGAGTTCAACAGAAAATGCATTTAGCAGGGGGACTGGCTTCGTGTCAGCATGCGTGTGTAACAAGGGGCGGTTGCGGCGCCGAGACTGCAAGGTGGGGTGTGAGTGTGTGTGTCCTGCCCGCGATGCACAAAGGGGTGGGGAGAGGTACCGCTGGGCTCTGCCCGCGCCTCCTATCTCCGTCGCGCCACGGTTTGCGTTGGGGGTGCCGCGGCTCCGCCGGGCGATGCCGCGGGGCATCCGCCGCGCCGGGTGATGCTGCCCACCCCGGGGAGGGGGAGGGACTGGGCCGCCCCCGGGGAAGCCGGGGGCACGGGCGGGCGGTGTGACAGCCGCCAGCTCGGAGGCGAGGCAGCGCTCCTGCTGCCTTTCCTCTTGACCTTCCCCTCCTTATAACGTGGGTCTGCTTGGCACGGAGGGAGGCGGTGTAATTATTATTATTATCGGCGTTGTTGTATTTCAATCCGAGGAACCGGCAGAAGGTGAGAGTGAACAAGCGAGTCGTTGCTTTAAGATCAGGAGTTGCTTTCCCATCCCTCCCTCCGCCGGCCCCCTTTCTCGGCTGCTCCCCCGGGCCGGGCCGGACGGGGGCTGGGGGGCCCCCGTGGGCATCGGCCGCGCCGCCCTGCGCGGCGCCGGGCGGCACCCAGCCTCCCCCGCCCGCCGAACCCTGCGGCACCGCCATCCCTCTGCCCTGGCCTCCTTCCCGCCCCTCCCTTGCATATGTCGCGGGAGGCGGGCGGGGGACCCCAGGAGGAGCAGGTGGCCGGGCGCGGCCGGCGGGGCAGGGAATGCTCCCGGTACCCCGGCGCCGAGCAGCGCGGGACAGTGCGGGTGCGGCCACACGGCCCCGAGCGGCGCGGGGCTTCCCTGCGCTGCCCGGGGAAACACCCGCTACCGCGGCTCCCGGTGCGGCGGGAGATGCGGTACCACTGCCCAGCGCCCGAGACCCGCCTTGTGCTGCTCCTGCGGGTCTGCACCTCTCCTCGGGGTGAAACCGCCCGCAATTAAGAAAGTCGAGGTTGTCTCGCTTACTCGGCTGTCAACCAATTCATCGCTACCTCCTCTCGTTGGTTTAGAAGGAAACCTTACTCGCGCTGTCAGGGCTTAGAACCGACAGGGCAGAGGTAAAATGTATGGTTGTCAGTATTTGGTTTCTTCGTTTCTGTGTCTGGATTTTCACCAACGTGTGTCATAGGTTTGCAGACAGATGGTTTTGCAAAATGGATGAAATCTGAAATACCCTGCTAGGTAAATGTAAGTTACATATTGTCTGGCAATCCTGGTAACAGGTGAAAAATAGCTTTCTATAAATGTAATATTCGTGCATTGCAATTGTGGGGAGTTCTATAATAGAAGTTGATTCTTTACCACATCAGTGAATGCTAGTCTCATCATGCTTACATAAATTACTGGAGAATTTTCCTGTAGCACAAGCCATTTAGCCAAACAAACTATTTAACCTTTGTAGAGAAACAGTGTTGCACACTGTTATCACTGTTATCAAATACGTATTTTATTTGAGTTCATACCCAGAAAAAGTGAAGTCCTAATAAAAGATACATGAGCCCCACCCCAGTAAGTTTATGGCCTGAGACGTGAATGCTGTGATACGCACAAGTACTTGCCTCCCTGAAATAATGTGAGCATTAAAGCATTTAAATGCCTTTCTCCATCAGGTCCTCAGATCCTTTTAAGTAGCCAAAATAAGAACATAATTTGATTAAAAGCATGCGATCAAATAAATTGCTATAGTGAGTTGAACATCTAGTCCAATATCCTGGCTCTGACAACAGTCATTAGCAGTTGCTGAAGGGAGAAAAACGTAAGAAACAGGATTTGCATGCAATGATCTTTTCCTGGTATACTCTTTCAGATATTCTTTTCAAGAACCTGCTGCCTTAGCTTTTGTATGTGACAAGCAGTACGTACTCTGTGTATAAGGTGCTAGGAGTGTCCTCTCACACCAGAGCAGGCACAGCACTGACAGATCAAGTCCCTTCATTTTACCTAACACCAAGTTGAGAGGTCTGCCTAGGGATGTAAACCTATATTCAGCCCTGGGTCCTTATGTTGAAATCTACAGATAAGAATAGTCATTCTTTTTCTTGTTATGCAACATGGACACTTATGCACAAAGAATTGCCCTGAACCCATGAACTCATTTCAAGAAGGCTACTGAAAAGCTGTCTGCTGAAAAATTGCACTATTGATTTGAATTGAAATCTGAGTGACAGCTTGGTGAAAAATTCCCTATTCCAATCCAGTTTTCTACCTACCTTGAAAAAAAGATGAAATGTTTTATTCTTAACTGCAATTCTTCTTTTTAAATAAGTATACCACATGCAAGCTATAGGTCAAGGGACATATAGCTGTGAACTCTGTACATTTGAATTAGCATCACTTCTAATTTTTTTGTGTAATGTTCGTTATAAGGATGTGCATATTGAACAACATGTATAGTTTCAAAAGTAGTTTAAATGTCCCATAAAATCTAAGTGATTTGTAAGGAGCTGTGACACAAGATCTTCTCCCCATGAGTACTCCTGAATTCCAGTCCTGCTTGAAGAGGTATTAATCAGACCAACATTGCAGAAAACTTCCCTGATCTTACTGGTAGCTCCACTTTGGTTTCCTCACAAGAATAATAGAGGAATAACAGACCAGAGAACTACAAAAGCATAACCCGAACCCAAAGATCCAGAAGTTCTCACAGTTTGAAATCAGCAGCAGACACAACCTGGAGCAATACAATCCACAGCAGAACGTAATTAAGTGGAGAAGGGTAGAAACCCACAAGTTGTGAAATTCTTCACAAAAAATAAAATGCTGGAAACCTCAGATGCATTAATCCTCATCTCCCGAAACACTAAAAGAAGAGGCTGAGTGGTACTGTTATGGGTACAGGGTAGGAGGAATGTCAGCCAATTTCAGACTTTAGCCGGTCTCAAACTAAATGTGAGAATGATTTTCCACTTTTTAAGAGGTATATATGTGTGTGTGAATATATATATGGCAAACTATGTATGTATATATATGGTATATACATTTTTCTTCACTAAAAATACATTATCTTAAATAAATTTTACAATCCTAGTACCTTTAAATAGCACTTTCTTACTTATATGCTTTATATGCATGCCTTTACATATGAAACATATGGAGATTCTTATGAATATGCCAGAAGTGTTCTAAGTGAAATGATATTAGCTCTCGCAGACATGTTTATCACAGTTCTGTTAGCACCCTCCTGATCATGTCTTCATGATGTCAGGGATTTGTTTTGCATTTCCACCTAGGTTTCAGCTTTTTTAATGAAAAATATTTCCCTACCATACTTGTAGTGCTTATTCTGTGAATACAGAATGAGGTTTCTAAGAACATAAAATTCATGTGCTAATTGGCTTGAGCTAAAATGAGTTAAAAATTAAATCCTTCAAGAAATTCAGCATTTCTGTTGACATACTTTTTGTTCTAAGTAGTCTTAATAATGAAATAATGTAATCAAACTTTTCATACTGTTAATTAATTAAAAGCTTGCGCATAGGGTGTAAAACCAAATTAATAGATTAAGTTGTAATTAAGTTTATCTATTCATGGTTATAGCTAATGGCTGTGGCTATACAGGCTGTAAATAGAACTGTGTGAATAGCTTTGCTGCTGACTCCTGGGAGTCTACTGCACCCTCCAAAGGAGCCCAGCCCTTCTGCTTGGCACCTCTGCACATCTTGGTTACAGTGGGTCTGACACAAGGAGCTGCATGCACATCTCACTTCAATTATCCAGAAAGTTAACCATTTCAGAGAAATCTTTTCTGTAAATATTCTGTGTCTCAAGTTGAAGTTGGGTGTTTGTTCTCAAAAGCTGTCCCTTGGCATTGCTGCTGTCTCTAGCGTGCACAAAGGAAGCAGCCAAGCAGTGTAACTGTGGCAGGAACCTGGGGGAATGCTTAAAGCACACAAACAGATGAACTTGGCATCTGCTCAGCCACCGTGTAACCTGTGCCTCAACCAAACCAAAGTAAGGTCTTGATTCCCTGGTGTGCTTTATCTGCTTTGCACTGCTCCAGTGATGCAAAATAGATGTAAACTCAATTTAAATGACTTCTGTGCTTTTAATAATTTGTGCTATTCTGGTATATTAGTGAATCTGTGTTTAAATAAAAGTATTGTGTTCAATTTAATATTGATTCTATCATATCTTCATAAAAAAATTGAATGATAACTTTGTCTTTAAGTTCCTTGTTTATAAAATATAAACGAAGTGCTTCTTACATTTCATAGAACCAAAATTTCCATACATTATTTACTTTATAAGCAGATGCCTGTAAGTTCTAAGAAATCAGAAAATTTCTAGATAGAATGTATGTGGAGAATTACAGGTAGGGAGATAGAACAGAAAGAAAACTTAATAAAATCTTAAATCCTACAGCCAAGCATTAAAGACACTCACACATCTTAAACACTATACCTGCACTGCATAATCTTTCTCCATACTAAAATAGCGAGTGATATATAGTCTAGGTTCTTCAGTAAGAAAGGGGTAAATTAGAGACTGATGCATTAACACAGCTATGTACCTTCTGCTACCAAAGCAGCTTCATTTAAATCAGTTTGGCCGCTCTCTCCAGTAATGCCAGCTCTGTGCTTGATGAAATATGGGAGACATTACAAGCTAGACCACTATATAGCCCAACTCTGTACATACGGACTAGTAGAAAGTATATCAGAGTAACACTATCTTTAAAAGGAGACAGCCACACTGTCTCAGCTCCCTGATGTAA